CAGTAATGTTTCGTTTAACAGTCCAGAATGGATGCCTGCCAGCGGCTCATAGCTAACCCTAACTGTAATCCTAACCTCGAATTGAAACTTACATTTGAGCGTTGAACATCTTGCCAACAAGTTCGCAGTTCCAGAGGTTCTGCCCCTAGGGTTGCGTATATTTGGCTGACGACGGCCAATAATCCACAGATAGCCATTCCACTCTCCCTTGTTTTTGTCGGTACTGTATTTCAGCCAGTGATATTTTGTATAGCGCAACATGCACCAGCAAAAGGTTTAGATTCGTGATGCTAAATTACACGAAAAATTACTTCTATCTCTGCTGACGTCCAATTTCGCCCAAACTTGGCCTATTTTACTTAAATAAAACAGATATGAAATGCATTCCTTAGTTAAAAGGCGCGCAAGGCCTTCAGTCAATTTAAAAAGTGATAAGACTCACAATACGCCCAACTACCCACTAACATTTAGATCACCACATTGCATGAGTAAGATCATTGTCTGTAAATGGCAGGCCCATATAGAGACACGTCATTGCGGCCTAGTTTTGACGTTGACGTTACCTTGGTGGCTCAATTGATATTATTTTGTGCAACGGACTGACTTGGGCTACCAAAAACTACCTGATCACAGACGTTGATCGCAGCTGTTTTTTGTTTACTTTACTCTTCAGATCGTTCAGCAAGGTGGCATGGCTGGCGCAACTGCAGTCGCCTCAACGGGTTGTCCACCCGATTCCTCCTGGTGGTCCTACGGTGTCTCGCTAGTTTATGGAATTATTCGGAATCTGCAGGTTCGTAGCATTTTATCGAAACCAACTCCCGCAGCGCATCTTCTCAAACTCACTATTTGTTTCTTTTTCTCCGTGTGTGTGCTATTTTTGCGCCAGGTTCGCTCCAAATGTTGTTCCTGATGAGTTGCGTTTTTTTCCGTGTGCCTTAAAGGTTGAAATTAAAGATGTACACTTCTCCTTTGTCGGCGAGGCCGCCCTCCACGAATCCTCAGTTTCCTCTCCATCAGTGCCTTTCCATTGGGGTGTTCGACTGAGACAATTGTCTGCCCAAACCACCGACGAGTCCTGGGTATGCCCATCCTTGCGCCTT